GGGGGCGGTGGCGGCGGCGGGGCCCGCGTCCGCGCTGCCGGCCGGGGGCTCAGGCTCGGCCCGGGAGGGCTGGCTCTTCAAGTGGACCAACTACATCAAGGGCTACCAGCGGCGCTGGTTCGTGCTGAGCAACGGGCTCCTGAGCTACTACAGGTAATGCTTCCGGGGCGCCGACAGCAAGGTCGCCCCCGGCCCGCGCGCGGCTGACAGCGCCGCGGGGCCGCGCTCGCCTTCCGGCACCCAGGGGTGCAGCTCGGGATCCCGCAGCCCGCGCCCCGCGCCGCGCGCCTCGGGCCCAGACCCCGAACGAGAGGCCACTCCCGGCTCGCTCCTTTCACAGTCGGCGCGCAGCGTGGCTTCCGATGCTGCCCTCGGCTTTCTGTTCTGTCGCCTTCCGCACAGCCCGGAGGATGGACGTCCCTGCTGTGGGGCTCCTTGTGTTCTGGCGCGCCCCACCTCCTCCCGTGGGGATGATTAAGAGCTGCAGCCGACATTTGTGTGATCTTGGGCTGGTGAAAGAGGAGACGGTGTCTGACACGCTGATTGCTGTTGAACAGCATCTCTGTTTTGGAATCTGCTCGCAGCGACTCCCATTATGACTATTGAGAGAGAGAGGTGTTAAGCTAGGTGATCTCAGGACAGGATGTAAACATTTCCCGAGGGCTGGACTCTGTGGCAGAATGTTTTACCCACAGATGTCACTGGTGCCAGCAGCCACGTTGGGAGTTAGCAGATGTGCTGGTCCTAGTGGTGAGGAAACGGATCCATGAGCTACTCTCCCCCGGTTGGAGGGATTGGAAGTTGAAACCACTTCTGTTTACACCAGCATAACCTAAAACCCAGATTAGGGTTCCACGAATCAGGCAGGTAGAGAAGTAGTTACCTGTCTGAATAAAGCAGGTGTGTTTGTAGGTCAGGATAACTTTGTGTATTTTTATTAAGAAAGTATAAAAAGTTTCCATTCAGGGCATCTTTATTATTTCTAATTGAAATCTTTTCCGCGAAGACTGTCTCATTGAGGCCTCTTCAGCGTCAGTTGAGTAGCTACTCTGCGTTTCTTTTCAAACTTGCTCTGCTACCAGGAGGGTTAGGGGTGAGCAGCTCCCTTTGCTGTTGTGTTGGCTTTTAGAGAATTTGAAGGAGGGAGTTGGAGACAGGAGCACATTCTTATCTGTCCCCTAACTTAGATAGCTCAGTCTCTCATCCTCACTGACACTGGACAGCCGTGAGTGTCATTAACATTGTTCAGAATTGATTTCAGTTCTAGCTTTTCAAACTGTTCACCTAAGGGTTGTCAGTGTAAGGATAGGTCACAAATTCCAAATTTTAGCTGGCCCTATAGTTTTCTCCACCACTCAAGCGCATGTTTTCCTGGCGTCACTGTCATTGTCATGTCCAGCTGATTTGTCTCCCAGCATGGCTTGTGCCTGGTTTCCCTGTTTTCACAAATGGTGCGTAGCTACAGGTCTTGTCTCGTCCTTCCTCCAGGCCAGTTGCATCTTTGTTCAGTTCCAGTCTTGGTCAGTACTCATGATGGACATTAGTAACTTACCTAGTGGGTTGCAGCCACTTCTAACTTCTTTCTTACAAGAGCTAGTGGTAAAATTCCTTTCAGAACACACCAACCCTTACTGGGTGTGCTGGTTCTTGTCTGTCATTCCAGCACTTGTGAGGCTGAGGCAGGAGGATCCCTGAGAATTTGTGCCAACCTGGACTACCCTGTCTCAAAAACCCCAAAGCCATTTGTAGGGAAATATGTGATTGGCCTGTTCTTTCCAGCGTTGATGGCTCCACCTGCAAACGCCCAGCCACAGGAGCCTGACTGCCAAATCTGTATCCCCCTCCAGATCCGAGTGTGGTGAGGCCGGGGCTCTCCCTCCACAGACACAGGCCACTCGTACCTCCACGGCCTTGTGCCACATGTAGCCCTCCTAGAGTTCTCAGCAGCGTTGCCCTGCCTCTCATTATCTGTGCCTCCCGAACCTGTGGCCTCTTATTTATGAGGTCTGCAAGCACTGTATACCTTGTCAGTGTACTTCCTAGTTGTGTCCTTTGATGAGGACGCTGTGCTGCTCCCTGTGCTTCCTGACAAACCCTGTCACAGATGCTGTTACTTCAGATCTTGTGCAGAAGCCCAGCGTTCTGGCGCATGCCTGTCACCCCAGGAGGGAGGCTGAGGCAGAAAGACTGCTGTGAGTTTGAGGCTATTCTGGGCTCCATAGTGAGACCCTGTCTAAAGAAGCCTTGTGTGAATCCCGGCTCTGTCGGAACATCAGGGCAGGCTGTAGTATGGCTTTCCTTAGAGGTTGAGTTCCTATTGAAGCTGGCCTTTCTTAGTGGGAGCTTTCCAGCAGAACACAGCACCTAGCACTACTGTGGAGCCATCCGAACTCCTCCTCTTCTGCACCCACCATTTGTGAGCGTTGGCTGAGTGGCCCAAACCTGAGAGCTTTCTGGTCAAGCCTGCCTTGCTCCCAGAGCGCCTTGGCATGTGGTCACCTGCTGTGACTTCATGTGTGAGGAAATCCTGCAGTCTGTGGAGCTCAAGCAGGCAGAGGCGGTTCCTAGGAGGTGGTCAATGCAAAGTGTTGAGACCGAGGAATGTGCTAGAAGGTCCAGGCAGCACCCCTGGAATAGGAAGCCAGGGCCAGCAGCCTGTCAGCTGTGCATCTGTAATTCAGGCTGCATTATTCACACTGTAACTGAAGCTGGGGGCGGGGAGGTAAGAATAGAAAAGCCGGGATTCGGGTTACGGGGGGCAGGTGTGGGCCAAGGAGGGTAGCCCAGTCCATTGAGACCCCTGGCCTCCGCAGCCTGCTCGTTTTCTGCATCTGAGGAAGAAAAAACGTTTCATGTGACAGAACAACAGCGAAGCTGTCTCCCGAAGCTGGGTAGACAGACTCTCAACCACACTGAACCTGGCGTTCAGAGCCAGGGTGTGTGCTGGCTCTGGCATGCAGGAATTCGGGACGTGCCAGGTGTGTCTGCCGCCTGGCTCCCTGAAAGGGAAACGGCTCTGCTTTGTGCTGTGGCAGCTGGCAAAGGACTTTGACCTCTTTATGTTCCAAGTTGGACAGGAAAAGTGCAGTCTCAACATGCAGCTCCCCAGCCTAAGCCGCGGGGTGGTGGGGAAATTAGCATCATTCTGGCTGTATGCACTAGTTTATGTGAAGCGCCTCGGAGCTCGTTGTCACCAAATACTGCTGTAAAGTTCAAAAGTGAGGCTATTAATAGAACTGTCAGTCAGGAGACGCTGGGAAAATTTTTACACCCAGCCGGCAGAGTGCCGAGCTGCTGAGTCTCCCCTAGCTATTAATAGGATGGCTTAGGAGTTCCCACCCGTGGACGTCCACGGCCCTTAGGAAAAAGTATATCCCAGAGAGATTAGAACGCTGGGTGGAGGGCTGGGGAGATAGCTCAGTAGAATAAGTGCTTGCCTGCAAGCACGGGGTCCTGAGTTCAATCCCCGGTCCTGCAAAAAAAAGAAAGAAAGAAAAGAAAAGGTAGAATGCTGGGTGTTGGTTTCATGATTATTCTTCCTCTACTCTGCCAAGCATTAGTTATTTGTATTCCGTGTCATCTGAGCCTGAGCTGATACTTGAGCGTGTAAACTCATCCGGGTGCCTTCTTACACTTCTGCAATATAATCTGAGCCCGGTGCGACCGTTCTCATGGTGGCTGGTTTACAGCGAGGGCGATGTTTCAGTGTGTCTGTAAAGTAGAGCTATCTTAGGAAATGAGATGGTGTAAAGACACCGTTGAAGGGAGATACGCAGCACGGTGTAACTTCCACCTAGAAAGTATTTCCTGACTACACAAGCACTGGAGGGGACCTGAGGGGTGAAGGGCATGCCCTACGTCACACTCACGCTCGCAGTGGTGGGGAGCCCAGGTGCGTGTGCTGCAAAGCTGCAGCTCCTCGTGCCCTTGTGGTTGCTGGGTTAACACTGCATGGAGCCATCGCCCACTAGAGCCTGCTTTTAAGAAGCTAATATTGAGAGGAACTGGGGGCAATAAAATGGGACTCAGAAACGGTACTTAACAGCTTCCCAGAGGAATTCTGTCCTGTTCAGGAGGGTGTTTAAAGGAGATCTAACTAGAGTTGTTGATTCCTAAGACTTTCGTATTTGAAAGGGTTTGGAGTTAGGAAGAGAAATGGGGCATGATGAAAGATGAAGCCCAAGTCACCTTGGTGTCCCCTGCCTCTTCTCCTGCTGGCAGGTCGAAGGCAGAGATGAGGCACACCTGCCGCGGCACCATCAACCTGGCCACTGCCAACATCACCGTGGAGGACTCCTGCAACTTCATCATCTCCAACGGGGGCGCACAGACCTACCACCTGAAGGCCAGCTCGGAGGTGGAGCGGCAGCGCTGGGTGACCGCCCTGGAGCTGGCCAAGGCCAAGGCTGTGAAGATGCTGGCAGAGTCAGGTGGGGGCGGAGAACGCTGTGTCGGCTGGGGTTGGTCGAGGGTCTCCACCAGGACCTGTCCTTCCCAGCCATCCTCCCCGAGCTGAGCCCAGGTGTGGGTGGGTGTGTGCAGGGACATCTTCACTGCTGACTCGCTGCAGTGCGTGAAAGCCCCTGCCGCAAGGACTGCCTGCCAGGGCTGGGACACTGTCCTAGGCGTGGTGTGCCTGCTCTTTCCGTGTCAGTGGAGACCATAAAATGTGGGAACATAATTACTTGCTGAGTAGGTCAGGATTAGGATTATTATAACTTGTTTAGGTTTATCCATGCCTTTTTCTTTTCTTTTTTTTTTTTTAGTGGAACCAGGGATTGAACTCATGCCCTTGCACTTGCCAGGCAAGTGCTTATTCTACTGAGCCACCTTCCCGGCCCCTCCATGCCTTTTTCTGATGTTGTCTTATATGTTAAGTTGGAACCATCTTATTTTTTTTATGTGATATATTCTATGCAGAATTTTCATTTTGCTAAATTGGTCACTAAAAAAGAACATCCTGGTTCTGTTTTGAAATCTCTTCAAGGAGAATGGTAGGATTTGCCTCTGAGACGCTAGGTGTCCAGCTGTACTCAGCTTGTTCACTCACCTACTGACTTTCGTTTGTTTACTTGCCTCTGAGGCTCCCATACTGTCTTTACTGTCTGCTGAGCAGTGAGAGGAAAATTCGCTGCTTGGGAAAGTTTTTGACAGAAGGTTATATTTTGACCTTGACTGCATCCCTCTAGCAGATAGGGTAGTTCTCTGCTTGTTTCTTTTGTTTCAGTTTTAGTGCTGATGTTAGCTCCCCTGCAGGAAGTGACCCTGCTAGAAGAGCACTTTGCAGCCAGAACGTAGTACGGGGGAGAGGATACCAAGAGAAGCCGCGCGCAGCTCCCTGCTTGAGGTGCTCTGCGAGCACTGGGCGGTGTGAGCCGCAGGTGTTGGCTGCAGGTGGCCTGCAGGCCACACTCAGAGAAGTGGTGGCCCAGGCTAGCAGCCAGAAGTCACCCTGGGCATGGTGGACACAGCAGGAAGGGTGGGGATCTCGTCCTGGTCCTGGCCTCACGCCGCTCTCCTGGCCTCCCTGCAGATGAGTCCGGAGACGAGGAGTCCGTCTCCCAAAGCGACAAGACCGAGCTGCAGAGCACCCTGCGGACCCTGTCCAGCAAGGTGGAGGACCTGAGCACCTGCAACGACCTGATTGCCAAGCACGGCACCGCGCTGCAGCGCTCCCTCAGCGAGCTGGAGGCCCTCAAGCTGCCAGCTGAGAGCAGCGAGAAGATCAAGCAGGTCAACGAGCGGGCCACGCTGTTCAGGATAACGTCCAACGCCATGATCAACGTGAGTCGCTGCTGCCCCGCTGCTTTCTGTCTGAGACCCTCCCTGCCCTTGGCATTGCCCTCGGTGGAGTGGAGGACAGCGCTTCGCGTGCTGCTTCCTGCTTGGGCTTTAGGTTGCACTGTCTGTTGCGTGAATGGGAGGGCGCACATGTGAGTGACTCGAATGCGCCACCCTGTGTCAGGAGGACGGTGGTGTGGATGTGGAGTCGTGGCTGTCTGTGCAGTGGAGCCTCGGCGCATGTGCTCAGTCCACTCCAGGATTCTAAAACAGACAGCCACGTGCACATTCCTACAGGAAAGATGGCTGTGTGAGTTTGTCACCTGATGCAGAGTTTGTGATCAGAAACAAAATGTTGCCAAACACTTCTGTTTGAGAACCAGATTGTGTGCAAACGAAGCACTCACCACCTGAGGTGCTGCCACCTGAGGTGCTGCTGCGTTTACCTTTCTGCACTGAGTGAGGTGCAAGTGAAAGTCTGCACAGCTCTTTCTGCCACCACACCTTTCCCCTTCATGTTGGAGCTGTGTCCTGCTTGGTCACTGCGTCTTGCCCGTGGGGTGGTGAGTGGGGGCCGCAGTGGGCAGTGGTGAGGGCCACATCTAGTCTTCAGTGGCGGGGCTCACTTTGCTGGTAAGACACATACTCAACTCAGCTCTACACCTTTCTTTTCAAAAGGGTGCCACTGGGGATGTAGCTCAGTGGCACAGCACCTGCCTGGCAAGCACAAGGTCGTGAGTTCGATTCCTGGTACAAAAAAAAATCACCTAATGTGGATTAAAAAGGGGCTTTGCGGGCCAGCCTGGTAGCTCAGAGGGCTAAAGTGCCTGCTTAGGCAGAGCACAGCAGCCAGGGTTTGATCCCTGGTGTGCCATGCCGGCCCTGATTGAGACTGGGTATGGTGGCGCATGCCTGTAACCCCAGTACTTGGGAGACTGAGAACAGAATTACTGTGAGTCTGATCTATGTAGTTAGACCCTGTAGAGCCTGTCCTAAATACAGAAAAAAAGAAAGGGTGTGGGGGGTGATGCTCTTGGTGCCGGTGCCTCTGGTTAGCTGCGTGGGTTAGGGGGCCAGTTCATCACGGCGCCCTGGCTTGGAGGGGGAAGTGAAGCCGTGGCTCCCAGTGTCCTCCCTCGCCTAGTACTTGATCCTCACCGGGCAGGCTGTTCTAGTGAGCTTTCTTAAGTGAGAAGACTGCACCATGAGGTTTACACTCCTGGAACGTGCTTCCCTCCCCGTCTTCCCCACCCCTCTTGGGTAAGGATTGCGGTGCCTCCCGTGCACTATGCCTGTTAAAGTGGACAAGCCATGCATCCAAGCCCTGAGTGGGCAGGGTACGTATGTCCAAGGGCGGGAGAACACAGCTTATGCGTTGCCTTGATTGCCTTGGACAGAACTTTCCTTACTGGCAGAGTGAATTTGCTAGTCACTGTGGCAGGTCAGTGTATTCATTTGCTAATGAACACTGCTGAGTCCCCAGCTGCACTAGGGGATGTCCCTGGGGCCAGCGGTGGCCCCTGTCCTCAGGATCACAGGGCAGCGGAGCACAAGGAAGGCAGTGGATCCTGGGGGCGTGTGCTGGGTGCCCGGGGGAGCGAGCGCAGCCTGTGGAGAGACCGCGGTGTGTCTGCTGGCTTGCTCCACGCAGGGGACCGGGGCCCCGAACGCTGAGGAGCCCCACGCGTCTCCTGTGAAGAAGGGTGCTGTGCAGGGTCGGGCTTGGTCGCTCCCATCTGTATAGCCCTGTGTACAGGAGGACTGCCCGAGGCTGCTGCGCAGGCATCTGTGTGAGGACTCAGCAAGCGCCTGCCGCACAGCAGCTGGGCTCCCTGAATTGGGGTGGGCAGTGCAGTGCGCTGCAGAAGACTGAAGGCGGAGGGAGGTCGCCCAGTGGTGGAGCACGTGTTGGGGGTGCCATTGTGGGGTCCCCCTGGGAACTCCTGTGACGGCCCTTAGTGCTGGGAGAAGCGGGGCGAGGTACCACCACCAATCTTTAGACTACAGACCATGGGACTGGGAGAGCCCACACTTTACTGGCCACTTACTGGGAGCCTGCAGTGCTTCTGGACACTTTGTGGAGAGCTCCAGCTTGTGGAGGGAGCTGCTGCTATTTGTCCTGAGACTGGGGCGAGGAGGCCCAGGGCAGTTAAATAACTCGCCAGAGTACGGTTGGTACTGCTGCCTGCGCAGGGCTCGAGGGCAATGTGCAGACTCCACAAAGGTTAAAGAAGGCTCAGTGGGAGGAAGCAAAGCTAGAAGAAGCCTGCCCTTCAGCTTTAGTGAGGTGGGGCAGCAGGGAGGGCGTGAAGTGTCCCGGGTGGGGACAGGACAGAGAGAAGCAGGTGGCAAAGGCGCAGTGGGGGTTGAGTTTGGGGCTTTGGAGTTGTTATGCACCAGAGGTAGGTGTGTGCGTGCGTGTGCGCATGCGCATGCACGCGTGCATGTTTTTTGCTCTGCAGCTCAGGGCATGGGCTTAGGGTTGCTGGATTTGCAGCCAGGGCGCTGTGGCTGCAGTCGGTGCTGTGGGGTAGGTAGACTTGTGCATGCACTGTTTCCTTCTTCCTTTACTAAGCAGACCTTACCAGGCTTGATTTTGTCAGAACAGCCAAGGAGCCGGAGATGTGTGTAGGAATAAGCACTGAGACGCGACTTAGTGTGCTGCTGATCTGGACAGAGAAAACTCAGTCACGATAGCACCATGCATGTGGAAAGCAGAAGCATGGGCTGAGTGGAAAGGGAGCTAGACAGAGACCAGGAAGGAAGGTGACACATGCTATCTTTATTACCAGTGGAGGTTTTTCCTAGAGCAAGGGAAAGGAGGGGGTCTGGGCACAGGGAACAGCATGCTGAAGGACACAGACCGGAGGCTAGTGAGTCCATGAAGCACAGAGCAGCTTGGCTGGCCCCGTCGTGGGGCGTGCCTGGGGGTACAGTGGTGGGCCGCACTGTGGAACCCTGGGCCTGCACGGGCAGCACTCTTGCCTCGTCCATGGGGAGCCAGCGGAGGTGCCTGGGGGAGACAGTGGTGGGACTGCGCCACGAGAGCCCTGGGCCTGCATGGGTAGCACTCGTGCCTCGTCCACGGGGAGCCAGC